TGATGGGAGGAAGTTCAATGTCAGGTAGAATTCTAACGAAAGCCCCACAATGGGTAGAAGGCCTGCGAATAGAGGAAGATCAACATAGGGTGGAATTCTGACGAAAGTGTCATAACGGGTAGAAGTGCAATAACGGGAGGATAACCAGAAGTGGTGAGTAGATGTGGATAATTTTGATGCTATTTGTGTGAAAATCTATTAGCAATGGAAAATCAAGTTGAAGTCCATTAACAGTCAACGACCGAGTGTAGAGCTGAAGGAGAAAGTTTGAGGATGCGCTGCAAGTAGTAGTCGAGTGATAACTGATGATGGATGATATGAAGCAAATGACCAATGACAAATATCAGATGAAGGGTCGATGATGGCAGGTGTCCAGTAATATTTTTTAAGATAATGTGTATCCATACTAAAGTACACCAACATCAGATATTCTTGAGTCAATGGGTCGGAGCAGTGTGCTATGCTAGTATTCTAGTAGGACACTAACATTGTTGACTAAGTGAAGGCCTGATGATGATCATGTTATGTCCTTTCTTTAAAGAAAAAAGTTGTAGGAAATGCTTGTATGCAGTAGAGAAGAAGTCACTTAAATCCATCAAGGATATTTGACTGTTTTGAAGTTTCTTATTGCTTGATGATAGTAGTTTGTACGGATGATGCCAATATACTTTTTACTTTCAGATTCTTACAAAAATGAACTTGATGTACAATTTTTGTAATGTAACACCAATGATATTATATATGAAGTTGAGAACTTATTTTTGTATCTTTGAGGCATGCATTGATATATTGCATAATGTGCTTTTTAGTCTGCTAAGATCATTATATGAGTGTTGATTTTATCAACGACTTGATTTTATGGAATCTTTATAGAGAGAATATTATTCACTAAGAGCATTGCTCGATGACGTTGATCTATATGAAAGAGGTCAAGAGAATCCACCATAGATATATGACCTATCTGAGGTTGTATGTCATAACATTTGCTTGATGATATTAACCTATATGAAAGAGGTCGAGAGAATTCACCAATGATGTAGGACCTATCCGAGGTTGTATGTCAGAGCCCTGCTCGAAGATATTAACCTGTGTGAAAGAGGTCAAGAGAATCCACCAAAGATGTAAGATCTATTCGAGATTGTATGTCAAAGCCCTGCTCGATGACATTAACTTGTGTGGAAGATATCGAGAGAATCTACCAATGATGTAAGACCTATCATAGGTTGTATGTCAGAGCCCTGCTCAATGACGTTTACCTGTATAGAAGAGGTCGAGAGAATCCACCAAGGATGTAAGACCTATCCGAGGTTGTATGTCAGAGCCCTACTCGATGACGTTAACCTGTGTAAAAGAGGTCAGATAAAATCCCCTATGATTGATAATCCAGTGATTGAGATACAATAAAAATTATGTATTTCCTAAATCATGGATAAAAAGATTATATTTATCGGTAGTTTTTTTATTGTCATTTTTTTATCCTTTTTTTTAAATGAGATAATATTATAACAGAGTGAATAACACATTATAATGTCATGTAAGACAAAAATAAGTCCCTAGTATGACTTAGGGATATATAAGTTATATTGTACTCAAAACATAAGATATATGTACGGGGACAATATAATGTTTAACTTGAAAGAAAATATTAAGTATATCAAAGTGACACCCTAATTAACCTAAAAAGAGACACGATGAAATAAGACAAGTAGGATTACTAATACAAATGCACGAAGTGTGTGGTTATTTAATCTCACCAATCATTTGAATATTATTCAATTGTTATCTTTGTTGTTGATAATTTTGCCTCACAATGTGATCAGCTTTATCTCGAGCAAGTGGATTTTGGATGAATTGCTAGAAATATCCTTGTTGGATCAACCTTTTAATTTCATCCTTCAACTATCTGCAAGCTTCAGTAGTGTGTCCACAACCACAGTGGAATTGACATTATTGCTCCTGATTTCCTATTTTCTGCTTTAAAAGCATTAGGCCACTTAATATTTTCTTGATCTCGAATGGTCATCAGTACATTGGTTCGAGATGCATTTAGAGTTGTACACTCGTCTTCTTCTCGAAATCCTTGCTATGGTAATGGAGGACTAAGAGACAGGCTATTCTTCTATTATTTATTTTACTGTGAGAATGAGTTATCCATTATAGGGGCATTTTTGCACTTTCCAGAAGGTTGCTCAAATTGCTTCCTATGGGCATTGATAGCTTTATCAACTGATATTTATGCCTCTACACGATGGACCATGTTAGCATATGAAGGAACCATGTCTCACATAAGTACTGTCGAGTAAAAGGGATTAGGACGGAGATCTCAAAGGAAAACTCCTCTAAGTAATTCAGGATTTACTCTTGAAATTTGTTGAGCTTCTGTGGAAAATCACTGAAAATACTCCTTCTGTGATTCTCCTTCATTCTAGAGAATCCCAGAGAGGTGGGAAGAATCCTTTGCAATTCTTCGATTGACGACAAATTGTTTAATGAATACTTTGGCCAATTTGATAAACGTGGACATTGTTCTAACTGGGAGTGAATAGAACCACGTTCATGCTTATTCCTTGAGGGTTGCAAGGAAAACTTGGCATAAGAGCACATCAGAGGATCGTTGGATATGCATGATGGTCCTATAGTGATTGATATGCTTGTATGGGTCGGATGTCCAGTCGTAGGACTCGATGCTTGGTAGTTTGAAGCCAATCGGAATGGGGTGCTGAAGAATGACTTCAGCTAAAGGTGATGACTCCTTGAAGTTTCGATGTCGAAGAATTTGCCTCACATCTCCTCCGGGGAACTCTTCCCGTACTAATCTTCGCAGTTCATGACGTAGGGCGTTGCGAGGGAGCTCAACAAAGTGTGGTTAGGCTAAGTCTTATGGGAGATCTGGAGGAATGCGAGGTTGTCGAGTTATGGGTGAAGGATGGGTATAACTTGTTGTATCGGCAAGTTCCACTATAGGAAAATTGTCTATTACCGACAGATTTTCTGGCGGCTTTCCGGCGGACTGCTTTCCAACGAATTTTTTGGTGAATTTCCGATGGATATCAATGAGATATTTTTGACAAATTTTTTTGGAGATTTTCCGATGGATTTTCCGACGTATTACTGACAGATTTATTACCGGTGGATTATAATAATTTCTACACAAAATATATTTTCATAATTTAAATAATTAATAATTTTATATATCAATTTAATTAATTACTAATTTAATAATTTATTTTAATTAATTATTTACTTAATAGCTTATTTAATCAATTATTAATTAAAGAACTTATCTTAATTATAATAAATTAAATATTTTATTTTAATGTATTCTCAGATAGAGAGAGAGAGTAACTTAAGTTAAGTTAAATAATTTTAATTTTTTTTTGTTAAATTCATAGGAAGATGAATCTCCGCCTGAAGATGTTTGAGTTGAACATCTTCGACTAGTGGTGGAGCTCGAGGGAGAAGAATCTCCTCCCGTTATGGTAATGCTGGATGTCGAGTCTCTCCCAGGATTTGAAGGATCTCGTTCTGAGATTCTTCCATCTTTCGGATTCTCTATTCTAAGGAAGATCCCGAGGTTCCTTCTCCAATAGCATTTTTCCCCAGGATAAAAAGAGGCAGATATCGGGTGTCTATGATTCATAGATTGATTTCTGGAATGTTGGGAGTTGGAGCGAGACGCTCCAACGATACGACTACTATGCCTTTTGACCATCGTAGCAACACTTGAAATTATGGGATAATGTTTCTCACAGACGGCGCCAAACTATTGCGGGCAAGAATATATACGACAATAGAGTTAGAAAGTATTCGTCTTAGCATTGTACGGATATTCAACACACAAATAGAAGATGAAAGAATACCATAATTTTTACGTGGAAAACTCAGGAAAGGGAAAAAACTGCGGAGCCACGCCTAGTTAAAAAAGTTCCATTAGTGTTTGCTTAAGATACAAGAGGCTGATTCATCCTTAAAATTTTTGGACAATCAGATTACAAGGAAACACTTATGTATTGAAATTCAGTTACAAAGTCGGGCAGAGTTTTGGTGACACATTGAGAAAAGGCATAATTCTGGCGTTGCCTAGAAGTCGGGCAGAATTCTAGCGTTGTTTGGAAGTTTAGCAGAATTCTGGTGTCCCGTTTAAATTGGGAAAAATTCCAGCGTCATTTAGAAGTCGAGCAGAATTTTGGCGTCCCGTGGAAATCGGGCAGAATTCTGGCGTTCCATTGAAGTTGGGCAGAATTCCGGGCGGCAGTGGACGAGGAGTTTCTTCCCTCATATTCTTCTTCTATTCTCTTCTCCTTCTTCTCTTCTTCTTCTTGCTTGGATCCCCTTTAAAGAGGAATGAGAGGTCTATTTATAGATTTCTGGGGTGGCATGGTCTGTAAATAGGTGAGAGATCAGGGGTAAATGGGGAGTGGTTGGATGGATAGCCGATATTGAATCCCTTGATCATGTACTGTTCGTCAGACATTTGAAGGTCTTAATGATGTCGGAATTCGGTGATCTTGGGCTCGTTGGATTTGTATTGTCGAGACGCTCGATTCAACTATAAGCTCATTATGTTTGGAAAATGTTTGAGAACTCAAATTGTGGTTCGAACTTTCGAACAATGCTTCGGGCCCTTGATTTAAACTCATTTGGGCTCGGATTGAGTCAAATTTGGTGTCGTTGGGTTTGTATTTCCGAGACGCTCAGTTTGACTATAAGTTTGCTGAAATCGGAGTTTAGGTGATCTTGGATTTACATTTTGAAAATTTCGGCTTTATTTTGCCTCAAGATTCGTGCCCGATCAAGATAATTTTTTGATGATATATCAAGGTTGATGCTTACCTTGTCGGTACAAGATGTTTGTCAGACCTAACTAACTCACTCACTAACTAACTAATTATATATAAAAGCCATTTGAATTTCTTTGGGCAAATTTTTAAGAGGAGCAAAGTTGGTAAATGTTTTAGGTGTAGGAGCATGAAAGTAATTAAATTTAAAAAGGAGCAGAAATGCGAACAGGTTTGGCGTTTTCTGTGAAAACGCAAAGCAGGATCGCATTTTCTTCAGAGGGTATGACATTTGGTAGCAAGGAAACACTTCAATGTGCTCTATCTGGGTGGTCAATAATTAAAAATGTAGAGTTCAAGAAATCAACCTCCAATAAGACACGTCTAACAGTAGTATGTGTCCAACACGATAACCAAACTCGTCCTTGTCTTTGGCGTCTCCATGCAGCAAAGAGTAAACGCCTCGGAGGGGTATGGAAGATTTCAACTATAACCGGGAGACATACATGCACCAACCCGATATTGTCTGCAAGTCACCGGAATTGTACTTCGAAGTTCATCTGCCAATTTATAATAGGAACCTTAAGACAACAACTAGATTTAAAACCAAAAGAAATCATTACCCGAATCAGCTCAAAATTTGATGTTAAGGTATCATATATGAAAGCTTGGGATGCACGAAGAAAAGCAATAAGATCAGTATTTGGTAGTTATGAAGAATCATACAGTTCGTTATACCGGATGATGGAAGCAATACGTTTAGCAGTACCTGGTTCTGTTTATAATATTCAAGTAACACAGGGGATGCGATTCAAGAGTATTTTCTGGTCCTTTGGCCCTAGCATTGTGGGATGGAAATATTGTCGTCCAATACTTTGTCTTGATGGTACTTTCCTATTAGGAAAATATAGAGGAACATTGCTTGCTGCTGTTGGTGTCGATGGAAATGGTGGGTTATACCCACTTGCATTTGTAGTGGTTGAATCCGAATCAATTGAATCATGGATATGGTTCCTGCAGATGCTGCATGATCTCATTGTAAGTACACATTCACGTCCTGATTTATGTATTATATCTAACAAACATGCCGGTTTGATACGCGGTTGTTGTGAGATTTTTCCTTGGGCTGCACATCGACACTGTCTCCGTCATCTGCGAGAAAATTTTAAGAAAGTTTTGCGCCGGCTCGCCATCCCTAATTGTGATGCTGTTTGTGATAAAATGTATTGGGCAGGAAATACAGACGATATTAAAATCCACGAAAGGCACATGAGAGACATACAAAATATAAAGAAAGAGGCTTACGATTGGTTAATGGAGAGGGATCGTACAAAGTGGGCCCTAACTTATGATGGTGGATTTCGGTATGGAGTAATGACAACAAATGCCTCTGAATGCTTTAATGGCGTCCTACGAAGAGCTCGCAGATTACCTATACAAGGCCTAATCATGAGTATATATTACAATCTAGTCTCCTTATTCATAAAGCGAACAACAAAGGTTGAACAGTGGACTGCTTCCGATGGCTCAGCATTTGTCCCACACACAAAGGCTGTTCTGGAATTGGCTGGACGACAGGCTCGTAGAAGTCCACAACCAACCCAGATTAATAACCATGAGTTTAAGGTGTTTGACATGTCATGTAGTTCATTTCACTTTGTTATTACATCTCCACAAACATGTATTTATTCGTGTGGTCACCCACAGATTTATCACATGCCAAGCAAACATGCAGTGACTGCCTTAAGTTCACGACGTTGGGATCACAATGCTTTTGTATCGACCTACTACAGCTTAGTCTGTTACAAAGAAAATGCGATCCTGCTTTGCGTTTTCACAGAAAACGTCAAACCTGTTCGCATTTCTGCTCCTTTTTAAATTTAATTACTTTCATGCTCCTACACCTAAAACATTTACCAACTTTGCTCCTTTTAAAAATTTGTCCAATTTCATTCCATATCAAATCTTGAACTTTTATTATTTTTCTTAAAAAATTATGCTAGCCCTTTATTATATTTTTAACATTTAAAAATTATATATTTCTCTTATTATGGGTTATTACCGGCATTAATTAGTTATTTTTATTATACTGTATTAATTACTAATATTGACCGTTTATATCTTTAAATTAAAAATTATTTTAATTTTACTATATTAAATACCATGGAGTTGCCTATTATATTTCTAACAATATATACTATTTATATCTTAAGTACTATTATAAAAATGGTTTCAATTTTCACCTATATTAAATCCTAATTATTCATTTTAATTGTTAAAAATAAATTCTAACCTTTAAAAATTAAATTTATTATGTTTTCTCTCTTTTATCTAAGAGTGGGTGTCAATTATTGACATGACCCGAGAATCCGACACGAACCCGTCTCGGAAAATCCAGATTAGTGTCGACCCATTTAACAAATGGTCGGATTCGGGACTCAACTTTCGACTCATTTAAAAACGTGTCGAGTCTGGGTCAACACAGTAACTCGAAATTGACCCGGCTGCGAACCCGCCTCATGTAGTCGCTGACTTACGTCGAACTCGATCCGTATTCCGCATAGGCATAGGCGCATAGCCACACCGCGCTCGAAATGCACTAGACCTTCGCCCTCGCGAAGCTCGCATAGAACTGCGGAGCTCTGGAGCCATACTGGCTAGTCCGGTCTCGCCTTGCCTAGTCACACTTCCTTTGCGAGGCTCGCATTGCGTCAAGCTACCGAACCACACAGTGTCGCATCGGTCTCACAATAGGCATGCCGCTCTCCCAACGCCGTAAGCTCTCGCAGACTCATAGGAGCGTAGCTCTCCCTTATAGTGGTGGTGCCTCGAACCGCGCCCGAATCGGCAAATCCCGATCTCCAGATCTAAGTTCCCGGGTTCACGGGTTGGGTCCGGTCAACCTGGTAACCCGCACGGGTAAGGTCCAGGTTGAATATCTTCACCTGTTTAGGTAAATGGGTTGGGTTCAGGTCAATCCATTTATGCCCATATTTAATCGGGTTCGATCCGAACATGAACTGTTGACCCAAATTGACACCCTAACTAAGACTCTTCCTATTAAATCACGGGAATAAACAACGACCGGTTTATATTCGCTAGCCGATTCGCATTTCTGCTCCCTCTTTATGCCAACTCCAGTCTAGCTAATCTCGATTATGGAATTCGGTACCTTTTACATACCCTAAACCTCTACGATCGTCTTAATTTCTCAATTGATTTGCATTCCAGAAGAAATATGAAGAAGCACATGCGGGAGATCATTCGTTTGAAGTGAAAAAGACATCGAAGGTTCAGCATTTGTTTAGCTCTAAAATGGCTCACCAAGGTCTCCTCGACTGTTCTTCTCCCATTATTGCTCCATTCGTTCGAATCTTTAACTACTCTACATTCGTTCGGCTTTCATGTGCTCCATTGTGTGCTTCATCTAACCGAAGATATTTCTTCCGTGTATCGCGCAATCCTTTCCAACACCTCTCGATTCTCCGGTTACGAACTCATCTCCATTGTTCTCTTCTCATATTTTTCTCTATTGTGCTGTTGCTGCGGCTTTGCAATTTATGAGCTGATGGTATGGCTTGTAGTGACCCTTTCAAAACTCTTCAATCGGAATGTAAGTGTGAATTAATAGTGTCTATGATTGCGGTTTTATCTATTATAATTTTTTTTAGCATTTTGATCCTTTAGGGTTTGTGCTGCAGGATCTAGCTTATTTTGTGTTCCTTATTACTTTGTTTTTATTGCATTTATTTCATGGAATTTGTTAGTTGTTGTCTATTGTGGTTTTCGGAGCATATTCTGGTAGGAAATGAATGCAACCTGATCTAAAATTTGTGATTTGTATTATTATTATTTTTATCTCTGAGGAAATTTAGTGTTTTTTGTTGATTGTGAGAACTTTAGGTGCTGCATTAATTAGTTGGATCCATCAACGGAAGCTGGAAAACAATGGCTAGGACAACAATGGCCACTACTGGCTGGCCTACGTCCACTCCCCAAGACCTCTACTAAGGAATTCCACTTCCGCTCTCCTTCTACTCGCGGTAAGAGGAAGAAGACTTTCTCCTTCATGGGTAATTGATTAACAAGATTGCAAAATAATTTGAATTTCGAAAATGTCTCTTGTTTTGAATGCATTAAATATAGTCAAGAAAAGCGAGTAAAATCATCAATAAAGACAACGTAGTATATAAATCCATCTAGTGATTGCTGACGTCTGAGTGGATGAGATTGAATGGGGAGGAGGACACAGAAAAACTTTTATTGAATGATATCATGTGGCTCTTGGCCACATTACAAGATGTACACAAAAAAGAAGGAGATATATTGCTAAATTTAGGAATTCTTTAAGCAAGAATTGAGAGGAGAAGATTATGCGGATGTCCAAGGCGAGTATGCCAGATTTGTGTGGATGTGGTGCTGGCTTGAAGAGCCATAGGAGAGGTGTTTGGAGACAGCCGAATCTGATAGAAACCGTTATGAAGATGCCTACGAAGAAGGAGACGATGGTCCTGGAGATCCTTAATTTCGAAACCGTTAGCATCAAAACATGTTGAAACATAATTATCAAATGTTAATTTTGAGACACATAAAAGATTATGAGTTAGAGATGGGGACATGAAAGAGATTGCACAGGCGAAGCTTATGAGGTGTGTCAGGTAGCGGAAGAAGACCCTGAATGGAATTGTGGATGAGTAACGAAGAGATGTTTTCAATAGACATGTGTCGAGTCCTTGGTAAGCGGCGAAGAGATGGAGATTATTGCTGTCTGGAGTTATGTGGGTGGATGCGCCGGAGTCAAGAATTCAATCCTAAGTTGCGATAGTGATTAGTTGGGCGAGCATAGCTCGTGGTGATCTGGATGTAGTAGGAGCGTACTTGAAATTGCATCGATGCTAGCAATTGATTGCGATATGACCGATTTTACCACATATTTGACAAATTGGTCTTATAGAGGCCGTAGAGTTGGACGAAACCGATGGGATGCTGGACGATTTCGGTCTGGCTGGTGAGTTCTTATTCTTGAAGAATCTTTTCTGACTTCGTCCACGCATTTGATTGTAGGAGGCATAAAGGGCTGTAGTACCCGATCTGGAGGAGGTTTCTTTAAGGATTTCTTGCTGAATATTGATATCCTCGCTGCAGAGGAGGGAGTAGAGAGTATCTAGATCGATGTGAAGAAGAGATGTGTGTATGGCGGTCTTGAATGAGTTGTAGGTTGACGAGAGGCCTTTAAGAATGTATAGAACAATGTCTTCCAGATCGATTTTTGATTCGGAGGCGACGGTATTGTCAACGATTGTTTTTATTTGAGCAAAATATTATTGCATGGTTAGATCCTTCATTTGGATGTGATGGAGTTTGTTCTTGAGTTGGATAACTCAGGAATGACTGGTGGGTTGAAGACGACGTTCAAGAACCATCCAAATGTCTTGGGCGGTGTTGGAAGAGATGACGTACGGAGGATGGATGGAGAAATCATTGAGAATAAGGCTGAGATAAATTTGTTGTCCACAAGATGCCATCGATTGGAGTCTTGAGTCGTGGCGTCGGCGGGTGGAGGATTAGCGCCCGTGAGGTGGCCGGCATATCCATTCACGAAGAATTGTTGGAGGATTTGGATGCACCAAATTGTGTAGTTGTCGGAGGTAAGAGAGTGTGGGATGAGGTTCTTGATGTTTGAGATGAGAAATTTGAGTGTCACCGATATGGAGAAATTGGTGGAGGTGGGATCTGATAGAGTAGAGGAAGAGGGAGGGAGGGAGGCGGCTGATTCTTGATCTCCCATGGTTGGCTTTTGATACCAAGAAAGAGCAGCCTAGAAAGCCTCTTGGGCAGAGAAGACAGAGAAGGTGAGGAAGAGAAAATGAAATTATATATCCCAAAGAGAGTACACAACTTGTATATATAGATGTATAATGGTAAAATAAATGAATATTTACAATCTTCACGGTAAAGAATGCTCACTCGATAATTATAGTGATTAACAATATTAAAATAAGTTTTATAAGTAAGAACATCAAATGATAAATATAATTCTATTAAGTATCCACAAATTTTGTGCAAACACGCTAATCCCTCTCAAATAAAAAAAAAAAAAACATGTCATTGGATTTCACATCAATGATAATATTCTCAAATTGATTTTTTTAATATAGTAAGATCTATATTTGAAAATTTTGAATAATAAAATTTGATCATACATATTAACCTTTGCTTGTCAAAAGTTAAAAATGAATCATATTTAAGTAGACACATCACACATGTAGAAGGAACTCCATATTTATGTCATCAAACTTATTAAAATAAAAAAAATGATTTAAAATAATTTTAAAGTTTTTGGGATACTCTTGAGATTGTCCTTAACTTCATAGAATTATTTCATAAATTTTTATGTCATTTATTTATTAAAATAAAATCTAATTATCCTAAATAAATAAACTACAAGCTCTCAGAGTAAAATAGCTCAATTCGATAATGGTGTGAATTTGTGATTTTTTTAGCATATCATCATGATTTACCTTGCATCATAAAATATTTTGATAATATTCAAAATAATTGTATTATTTATCATTGAATAGCTAAACTTCTTCAATTATAGTACTATATCTATCATTTCTCATATTTTAAAGTTTTTTCTTTGATGCTTTAACCAAAGTCATAACATTTTAGTGCCTTGTCCTTTTTTTTTAAAAAAAAACTTGACATAACCTATTTGTGATCTACCATATTGACTTCATCAAAGCGCAAATTAAAATAAGGAATTGCAGGATAAAAAAGATTTTTTAAAATTTAATTTTAATTTCTTAATTTCAGTCTTGAATAAAGTAATAATTATTGAATACTATTCTATGCCTTTGCACACGCAATTGCATTAT